AAGCTTTGTCTTCAACTGCTTGTGGTGTCCTTCGGTCAGATTTTTGGTTTTGTTTTGAATTTTGTTTATTTTCTTTCTCTTCTATTTCCATATATTCCATAGGCTCAAATTTATTTTCATTTGATATATTGATTCTTGATTTTGAGTTAGATCTTGATCGAAAGTGCTTTTTGCTCTGTTGTCACTTTTTTGTCTTTGTTTATTTTTCATTTTCTTAGTTTGGGTTTGGGAAGAAAAGGGTTAAGCTGGAGTTTTGTTCCGTGTTTTCTTTCCAAAGTTTTTTGCCTTCTTCTGGGTTTATTCCATTTGATCTGGGTTGTTGAGTTTTATTTTGATCCGATTTAAGTTCGATTAAAAAGGTTTTTAATTCTTCAAGGAAAGCTTTTAATTCCTTGCATAAATTTGTTATTTCAACTGAACCTTTTATTTTATCTTCATTGTTTATTTTATTTGCTTTTTGTGCCATGGAAGAATAGGTGTTTTCTTTTGTTATTTTTAACTTCCTTACATGCTTCTATGAAAGATTTCTTTCTCCTGTTTATATATACTGCATTGTTTTGAGAGGGCAGAGTGGTTTCCCAAACAGTTTGAGCATAGGCTCTCATTTGGGCAGTTCTCTTCTTTATGTTCTGGTTCTTTCTCACTACATTTTCCACATATTTTTTTTATTTCTACAGGAATCTCTGTGATGCCCAAATTTGTGGCATCTCTAGCATTGAAGAGGGTTTGGTACGTATTGTTCTACTTTTAGACTTTCATATCCAATTTTAATTGTTGTCAGAATTTGGGGGAGTTGAAAGTTATAATGTAGGTATTAGTTTGTATCTGCTTCATTTTTCTTTATTGTTATTCTTTTGACATTTGTAACTCCTTGAGTTTGGAGTTCTATTTTTATCTCCTCTAGAGTGCACAGGGAGAACTCCTTGCTTTTTACTACTCCCTTTGAGAAATTTAGGGTTTGGTGTGGGTAGGATTTTATTTCTATTAGTTTTTTTTTGCCTTATTAATGTGTCCGCATATATCTTTTTTTCCACTTCTACTAGTAATGTTCCATTTTGTAATTTTTTTACATTTTTTGGTATAATGATATTTGATATTGCTTTTTGTATTTTAAATGGAGAAATTTCTGTTAATGCTTTTTTGCTTATTGCTTCGAATACAATAAATCGTGGAAAGTTTTCACTATCATTTTCTGTTTCCGAGTCGTTATCCACATGTGGTCTCTTGGAAGATTTCTTTTTTTCCATTGATTGTTTTTATTTTTGTTCATCATTCTCACTCACTGTCGGGGCTACGTGAATGATATACTCTCTTTGGGAGGAGTCTTTGAGCACGCATGTTCCTTTGTTTCCGTTTTCCAAGTATTACGGCTGTGAAGGTTTAGCAAGTGTGTCAGATCCTTTTTTTTCTCCCAAAGTGATTGACCCTCAGCCACCGCCTTCCATCACATATTTAGGGTTAAGTGTTAGTTTTGGTTGGGAAGAGGAGTGTCAGTTATAGGTTTGGGATGGATTATATATGATGGGGCTTGACATGACCAACAGATTGATCGGAATCGGGCCCCTCCAGGTAAGGGCCAAAGTGGTGTGTTACAGGATTGTGACCGCTTTACACCTGGGTTACAACCTGCTCAACCACCAGGATCCTGTCCCCAGACATTACGGGTCGCCACCCACAGCCAACAGGTGGCCCCATTGAGAGACTTTTACCCTCTGCAGGGGGGCAGTCGGCATATTCTGATGCCCCACCGACTGGGCTCAGACATATTTGGTGCTAGGTTTAAGTTTTATGGTCTTAATGCAGGGCATAGACCAAAATTTACCGACTGTCCTTATGGTCAGTAACTGAAATATGGTTGCTCATAGACTGTTCCTTTTACCTGACCACATTATGTGATACATGATGACTACAGAATACATTATTCTGTCTGAGATTACAACAATACATCATTACCACTGAAATCAGAAGTAATAGTTTATAACCCTAAAATTCTAACTGTACACAATGGTTTGTACTTGATTTTGAAACTGTTGCAAACTATTTCATAAAAATATGAGCAAGGAATACAAGTATAGTATCCTCCCCTAGTGTACAGATTTGTGACTACACAAAAATGAGACTATTAGCAAAAAGAGACATCTTAATACAAATATCCCTAAAATTATTGGGAATAGTAAATAACAAAGAATATTGTCATTTGTTGTCTCCTACAAAGCTACAGAAAGAGGAAATAGATTCTTGCCTCAATAAATAATAATAAAAAAAAAACAATGAAAATAACTAATATCTTTTTAGTCCTTTTATTTTTAAATAGTTATTGAAAATTTAGTCAAAACATTGTGAGCATCTTGGCCCCACCCACCATTTTTTTATTCTCCATTTAAACATTTAACTTAATATTTCACTTCTTTCAAACAAAATAAGAGACACTAGTCAGGACAGAAGTTTTTGGATGATACAATTAAGATTCCGAAAATGAAAACTTCCCTTCTAAGTCTCAAAATAATGATGGTAAATTTCTATTATGAAAACAACACTGAGCAATTTTGTTTTTATTCAACTTGTGTGAATGTTAATAGCTCATTCAGGTTTTTTTATTACTTTTCAAAGGCTATAGACATTTGTGGGTTGCTTTCTATTAATAGAGAAACATTTTATTACAAGGAAAAACATTTATATAAGCAAATGCTAATTTGGAATATTGTTAGAAATTAAAAATAAAGTTATATAACTGCAGTTTTATCAAACCCTCAGCTGTAAACATTCTTTTGTCAATGCAAAACTGAATAAAATCATTTTCTTCTAAAGTGAAAAACAGTATAAATTCAATTACTACTTACCAGTCACTGGAAAAATGCAAAAAGAATTTTAGTTATATGTATAAACACTAGCACACATAGTAACTGCCAGTTTTAAACCTTCAGTGGATTTTGAGAAACAACAACTTATTTAGCATAAGTTGATGAAACCAACAATCAGGTCATTAAAAGTATTGCATTCTTCAAATATTTCTAAATCAATGTCTTCTTTTAAGCAGTCTAACAATGTACCTATTTCCAAACTGATATCTGTTTTCCTTCATATAAGAAGCAAACATTCAACCTTTGAAAATGTCATTAAATTTTCCATATATTTCAATTTGTTATATTTTTGAACCTTGAGTAAGTCAATCAACATTCATGTTGATTTCTATATTATCAGCTTAAAAATTTTTCACATGGAATCTATTTTCAGATGTCAACCAAAGGCAATATCACAAAAAAAATCAGCATACAAAATGACAATGTCACAACATTTTCAAAAGATCTTGCTCTAGCAATAGAAGAATTTTAATGTAGATTTTCATGAAATTTACTCAAAGACTTTCCTTTATTATCAATATATCAAACTTTTTATTGTACAAAGAGATGAAAATATTTTATTTCAACAATTTTTTTCTTTTCAATAAAATTAATTTCTACTTGGATAAATTTTAATTGTGTGTGTCATATTTGTTTATTTAATAATTTTAACATCTGTCCAATAAAAGTTGGAAATTCTTTTAATTTATGATGCACATAAAATTGCTAATTTACTTTCAAATTAGCTGCACATTAATAAATAATAAAGAAAATATTTTTCATCATAAATACCCAAATACCTTCCCCTGACCCCATTCTTTATGACAAGTAGCTAAAATTATGTCAATTTCAAATATATTTATACACACAGTAAAAGAATGAAATTGTTTCAGCTGAACAAAAAATTTAAATAAAATCTAATGAAAATGTTTAAGTTTACTACAAATTCATTAAACATTCAAAAAAATTACTTTCATCTGTTGTGATATAAATCATAGGAAGCAGTTGCAAAGAATTAACTGCTGAAATGAAAGTTATAAGCAGTTAGAATTGCCACTGTCATATTTTTTTTGAGAATGCAATTTTTAAGATGTATTTTTAGTGCCTCAATGAGAGCACATCAAAGTCATTTTAGTTCATACTGACAGATTTTAGAAGTATCAGACACTTGCTATTAGCAATTAACTTATCCTTGCAATTTTTTTTATTGCATCAGATAAATATTCATATTTCTGCAAATTGATTCACAAGGAAAAAAATGAATAAATCAAAAAGTTCTGTTAAGTACTGATCAAAAAGTAGCCAATCATTTAAAACCCAGAGAGTTGGTGTTTATAGTCATGTATTTAGGAGGGATATTCCTTGCAGAAATTTTAAAGCATTTATTTCTTGGGTTTGAATCCAAATATTGAAGTTATAATGGAGAAATAATAGTAATTAGTAATAGTAATCAGCTAGCTTGTTGACCACAGCACTACGGCAAGGTGACCAGGAACAGAACTTTAGGATTTGGATATGCTGAAAATATGAATTGTGATGTAAGCTCATATTGCAATCTACTGCCATCTTTGACACAATGAAAACCCACAGATAATGATATTCAATCCTGTGACCAAGATACACAACCAAATCACCATAACCAGAAAAAAAGAAAAAAGTCCAGTGTGCAAAGAGAATTATATTTAGAAGTTTACAGTGAGTAGGTTCATATTTTTTGACTTATGAAAACAGTAACAAGGATCATTGTCTACATCTTAATAATAATTAAATATTGATAAGATGAATAATAAATGCTGCAATTAGAACCTGTAGTTACATTGAGAATTCAAATTGTCATTTGCTTACATTTACTTAATGAACATTGGGAAAAACAAACAAGTATATTAAACAGTAAAAAATACAAAAAAAATGGCAATAAGGAAAACACTGATAAAGAAATATGATAAAAAAAAAAAAAAAATAAGAAAAAGAAACTATTGTCCACATGCAGACCAGTGATGAAACAAACCGAAGACTGGGCAGGGCAGGGGTAGATACTGATCTACATTGGCCAGCCAAGCATTGCAATTACTGCCAGATGCCATAACAAAGACTGGGAAGAATTAGTCAAAATAGGTCACTTACAGATCTAGTGTCAGGACTTTCAAGCTGGGATATTACCTGGTCATTTTCTGTCCCAGCATCAATCATACTTTGTTGAATTGCATATTGAAGGAGTTCTTCATCATCAGAACGAAGGGTCAACCGTTCGTGGTTGTTGTCACCTGAGCAGTGAAAGAAAAAAAAAAATGAAAATTCTTCACAGGCAAAAAAAAAAAAAAAAAAAAAAAAAAAAAAAAGAATATCTTGTTTTAGCTAAAAGCCAAACTTGCTCATGGCCACAACAGTAAGGCAGAAACTCCCTTGCAAAAGATGCTTGTTAATTTATATCCATGAGTCTATTGTAGTTCAAAGAAATTATGACTGGTGAAATTGATGTAAGAAAAATAAATAAGAATAGGTACAATATACGACAACTGTAACAAGTTTAAAAAAAAAAAAAAAACAGCATCTACAAAAAACTGATATTTACAATCAGAATGAGATAACTAAAATTCCTGGGAGGCACATAATGCGGAAAGAAGGCCTGGAGAATTCACAGTACATATTGAAGGCAAGTGAAACAGAGAGTAATCTACTTAATGAGTTTGAGTGAATGAATGGCAAAAAAAAGGACAAGAAGAATGTTAAAAGGAGCAAAAAAATTACTAATTAAGTGTTGAATAGAATAAGGAAAGAACAGATTAAAAATAATAATTAGAAGTCACAAAACAAGTTCAGAAGATTTTAACACAAAATAAACAAAGCTGAATTCATCAAGTTTTAGTAACACTAGATCTTCTCCAACCTAAACAGTTGCCTCCAGGGCAATATGAGAAAAATTTATGGTCTGCTGAAATTTTGTAAATTCCAAGGAAGAATTCTTGCTATGTATATACAAAATACTATTAGTTCATTTTGTTACCAAAATTAAGACTAGGGGTTCAACCTGACTACATTCCAAAGAGGGCCATATGAATATCTTATTGAAAGATTCGTAATTATATATATATATATATATATATATATATATATATATAAAAGAGAAGAGAGGAGTTTTGGGTTATAATGTGGATTTTTTTAAAATATATATTATACTTTTTTTGCTCCATATTTTTGCCATACACATTTCCAGTCTTGCAACCTTTATCAGGCAAAGATTGGTTATTCCCACATATCAAAAGGAATTCATTTTCCTTATGTTTTCCAATGTTTAACCATTGTCTTGTGTGTATAGTAGTAATCCAAATTTTTGTTGACCTTTTTTCTTGGAGAAGGAATATGCATACACATAAAAAAATAAGAAAAAATAACTTCTCCCCTTGCCCTTTTTCTGACCAACCCTAATTGTTTTATTACCCTTTAAGCAGAAGAATATTTCTGCCACAAGCCCAAGAAATTTTAATTCCTTTTAATAATATGTGGAAATAACCACTCTTTGGATGATGAAGGTCGCAAGACCGGAAACATGTATAGCAAAAATATGGAAAATAAAGTACAATATATATTTAAAAAATCCACATTATAACCAAAAACATTTGTGGCATCTCCCTTCTCTTGTTGGAATAACTATATATATATATATAGATATATATAAAAATATAAAAGAGAGAGAGATTTATATAAACAAGATGAGTGAGAGAGACAGAGAAGGTGATTTCCGATACCGTTCTCCCTCTCATTACTACTACTTCTACCACTAACTAAACCACTAACACAAGCCCGAACAGTCAAGAATACAGTGCCAGAACCAAGGTCTCTTAATTAATTTCAAATTATTGCTAGAATAATTTTCTTGGCAAAGAATCATTAACCAGACTACATAGAATTCTTTACTCCTTATGTAATTTTAGATTTTTCAATTTGTTTTCATTACATCTATTGTTAGTCATCAACAGTTTGTTGGTTTGTGCTATGAAGTCAGTTTCCAGCAGCAACAAAGAAGTTACCACAGTTGCACAGATTTCAGGAGTTAAATCTCAGCAGAATCACAACACTGGACAAAATGACCATAAAATCTGGTTACTTCCCAGCTTGCTGATGTCTATATATGATGACCATAAAAATAAAAAAATAACACCAAGTGATGAGGTCAAGAATACTATATTTTTGGTAGTGCAAGGAACAACAGATTGACAAAATGAAAAGCAGAGTTATATTCAATAATTTTTATGTATATAGAAAATAACAAAGCACATTCAGACATAAATGATATACAAATCAAATTCAAATGGAAAGTATTACTTACCCCCACGGTTATAATCGGCTGGTGGTTGAAACACTGAATCATCAACAACACAGGTCATTTTATCTTCATCTAGGCAGGTCACACCAAGGGCCGGTGTTTCAGCACCAAATATATTGCCAAATGTGATGCGGGCATTAAGGACGTGAAATAAGGGAATTTCTGAAAAACAAATAAAAGAAAAAAAAAAAAAAGGTGTGGGGCACACACACACAGAAGAAAGTTTTATTTTAGTATTAAGAACTTAGAGAATTATAATAAACCACCATATTCAAAAAGACATCATTTTATTATTAACCCTTTGAACCAGAGTGTCCAATATGCTGTTGCTATGTGAAAGTGCATATAGCCGGGTGGCCAGTATAAATGCCCAGAGTCATGGACAGGGTAGCAGCTGAAATATGGATGATCAAAAAATGGCAAAACCAGATATTACTCACAATAGCAAAAGTAGATTCTCAAACTTGAAACAATATTGCATGCTCGGCAACACTAGTATGGATATTAAAAAAAAAACAAAAAAAACATCTGGTTTATATGTTATAGTTGAGCATTCTATATATCCTATTAATTTGAAGGTTAATTAAATGTACACATTAAATCAAAGTAGTTTTGCAGTATTACTTGGTAGAAGAAAAGCATAAGTAGAAGGTACCAGCACCAGTTAAAATTTTTGAACTGATAACAGGACAATAGTCGTGTTAACAATTAGCCATTTCTCTACAAGGAAAAATTTGGCATTTATTGACTGAGCAGCCAGTACTGTTTTTGGTTGAAATTTTTAAAATTTTCCTTTTAAAAAGATTCAGAAAAATAGGTTTTTCAAGTCCAGTAACTGCTATTGCTCTTTCCAGAATTGATGGGCATTTCCTTCCTAAACTTTTGTTTGAAGTAGTGTGAAATAACAACATCTTGATTATGTCATTATTTTCTCTTTTAGTTACATGTGTTGACAGTTGAGATATTTCTGAATAGGTTTGGCTCCATGCATGGCATCCATATGAAATACTCAATCTGATGAGTCTATTTAATAATCAGTAGCAGTAATCTTCAGGAATCCTGCAACTGTGTTTAATATTTTTTACAAATTCTTTTTAAAATTAAATGACTTTCCTTGTATTATTTTATATATATATATATATATATATATATATATATATATATATATATATATATATATATATATATACACACACACACCAGATTTTGGTAGTTTTAGCTTCATACTCATTAAGATGTGCAATCACTGCTAAGACATTCTACATAGTTCACAATGGAAAAACAAAGATCAAATGGCCATCATGAATTTACTAATAATGCACACAGAGCATAGATTAAAGACATTCATATATCATAAGCCAACATTTGTAGGACAATACCTTCAGTTCCCACAATCCATACAATGTCAAGAAAGGGATTGCCCACTGCCTACAACATTGGGTCAAATGCATAAGTGCTAACTCAGACACATAGTAACAAGGGATGACTGTCATTAGAAACATCAGCTTTGACAAGCAGGGAAAGAAGGGTCAAAGATAATAAAAAGCATGCATGTTTGTCTCCCATACATAAAAGTACACCTGGACAGATTTAGATGATCTGTGTGCCATAAAACATCAAGGCAGTATTTAAAAGCAATTCAAGCATTTGGAGATATCTCTCCTAAACCAAACTCCCCTTACATGAAAACAAATTGTGTTTATTCCATCCCATGCAGTTGTGGCAATGAATACAAGGAATACACCAGTCACCCACTAAAATTAATGGCAGAGGAACATCAAAAGTCTGTAGCCTAGAGAGACTATAGAATGAAGTCAAAACTAATAGACAGAGAACAAAAATGATAAAATGACTGAAAGAGATTTGGGAGACTCTAAGAAAGAAAGGACACTCATACCACCACCTGGGTACAGGCATTAGTTTTAAGGCTCCTGAATTAAACTATTGGCCTAGTGGATTAAAACCTTAGATAAAACATAGTTGCCTGGCAGTTGTGACTTCAATCTCTGGATATAGTAGTGCTAAAAATTCATACACTCTGGTTCAATGGAAGAAAAAATAAAAAAAAAATTATAACAGCTGAAGAAAGCTGTAGCGTACAACAGCCACAAGAAAAGCATGCTGGTCCAAATAAGGCATATAATAATTCTTCATCTCAAAAATACCAACAAATCAAAAATTATATTTTTATTTCTATTCTCAAACCACATTAAAGTTTCAAGTAGATAACAGTAGATTCCCCTTCATCCATAAAAAATAATTACAAAATAGCCAGAAAGTCTAGATGTTACAATTTTTTTTTCTAAATTTTGCCTTTCCCCAAATTACTGTTTGTTCTCATGAAATGTAACCCTCACTCTTTATTACCCTCAGAAAAGTGTATATTTTTAATATTTAGAAATATTAGAGGCATTCTTTTATAAAGGAATGCCTCTGTTAATGTCAATGTTGCACAAAGTGATTAGCAACCAATCAAGAAACAACTTACCAATTTTAACTGGAAATCCAGCAGGTAATTGCAGGGTGACAAAATCTCGCAATTTTTTAAAGTGAGCATTACTGGCTGCCATAAGGTCAATGATGGGGACGACCTGTTCAGGTAAGGACAGAGGATAATCCTCACACAACCACAGTGTGGCTTTGAAACGCTGAGCTTTACTGCTTTGTTCAATTGGGCGTCCAATGTCTCGCTCCTCAAGATCACATGCATCATCAAAATATTCCTCTGGCTTGATAGAGGACGGGTTGTATGATAGGGTTTGGATGTCTGGCTGTAAATAGAGTTAAGCATCTATGATAATTAAAACGGACGTTTTTGCTGAATAATAAGAGAGAAACATTATGCGATTATTAATTTTTTTAAACAAGTTTTTTTAAGAACAGAAGAATATACAGTTTGTTTAGAATAAATATAGATAACTGGTAGCAGTATAAATGTATTTAGTACTTAACAATATCAGCCCTTAAGAGATTTCAATTATTAAAAAATCTGAATGCATAATGTTAGTATAATTAAATAATATATCTCAAAAGCCATTAAAAATCAAGTCTTACAAGTTGATTTTATATGAAATTGATTTCTCTTTCAAATGACACCAAATTTAACATGGTTTTGGAAATTTACAACTTTGTAAAAAAATTATATCGAAATAATCTGATAGTTCATTTCCAGGTGGTAAATTGTGTATTGGCCCATTTGTTACCATAAAATCTTGAAGTTTTACTTCTTCTGCAGACTCATTCCAATGCAGCACTAAAATGTTGACATTTTCACAAGAGCTGTTGTGACTGTCACAGTCACTTTTGTCATTGTCAACGTTCCTGCCCTCTTTCTCATAATTCTCATTGGAATCAACCAAATAACCACTATCATCACTTGTAACGTTAATGTCAGATTCATAAAAAAAAAAGTAGTCTCCATTGCCAATGTGGTTTTTGTAGAAAGAACCCTCCTCAAATTCTGGATCAATTTCGCTGTCTGGCATAGTTCTCTGAGTAAAAATAAGCATCTAAAAATTTCTAATCAGCATACCACTTTTACAACACCATTTCATCCCAAAACATTTATTCATTTGGTTGATGGCACCTCTAGTTGATGAGGTGACAGGTGTTAATGCTGTGCATTTGAAATACAGTGATGCCCTATTGCAGGCACATTCAGGCACTCCTGGATTGTGAGTGAAACTTGCAGGTGCATTTGAGTGCTTCCAACCTTAAAAGGGCTAAAATTTTAAATTAAATTAAGAAAAAAAACGAAAACGAAAAAGAAAAAAAAAAAACAGAAAAGAAAAAAGTATTTTGATTGAAGATTAACAAAATATAAAAAGACAGCTATTAATTTACCTTTTGACGTATCAAAATATACCTGATGTCAAAGCCATTTACATCAACAAATTTAAAGAAAACAAAAAGCCTTTTGTTAAAAATCAATGGTCAAAATATTTTCACATGAGCATATAAAAAAATTGGGGTTAATCAAGGAAAATATTAATTTGTGCCTTCAAATGAAGTCTTATGATTAAATTCAGTCACAAATAATTGCAGTATCATGCTTGGAGATATTTAGCAAACAAGACTACCTCTTTGTTGCCATTTATAAATCTATGGATCCAGTAATAAAGCAAAGTTTGTTTATAACTTCCATTCTAAAAGATTTGTTAGTCAAAAAGAAAAACCAAGACATGAAGAAATATGAATAAAGTGGGCCACACCCCTCACCAGGGGAGGGAGGTGCATATTTATAAAAGAAATAAAAGGTAGAAAAAAAAAAAATTAAAATTAAAATTAAAAAAGCTATTTACGCCATTTGTTGCTCCCTGAGCTTTGTTTTCTTCTTCAGCAACTCCCAGAAAGGATTCCAGAGGAGTTTTGTTAATTTTTTTGCTACGTTCCTTATCCTCCTCAGTCATGTGTTCAGTTCTGGTCTTTGTCACCAATTCAACATTGGAGGCACTGAATACCTTAAAAGAGACAAAAAGAAAGAAATTTTGCAAGTATGTTTCTAAGTAACTATTTGTTTATCTTCACACACATCTCCAATACTTACAAAACAAGTTAAATTTAGGTTTTTACAAAGTTTTTAAATTCAAATGACCAATAAGTAATGTTATTTATACAATTTCAGTTTCACAAACACTATCCAATTATGGTAGCCTCTGTTCTGTCAGAATTAACAATTTATCTGCATAAAGCTGGTATTCAAATATTATATATATATATAAAAAATGACATCAAAATGTTCCTGTCAATCCTCATGGACCAAACCCAAGGGAATCTAGTGATAAACAAGACCCTGAAAAGGCATCAAATCAAATACATCATCTAGATTTTTTTGTATGCAGTAGCAGGAAGCATATCAACAATTGTATAATACAAGTGAAGACAAGAAATGGAGAAGAGAAGCAGCAATTACAGAGAGAATTCACATTAAATAAATGATCAATGAGGTTCAGAAAAGGAAAATTTAAAAGAGGAAGACATTGGGATAAGTGAAAACACTTACAAATGAGGAAGAGAAAGAATGAAAGAACCCTGAAATAAGAAACTTAAAAAAAAAACAACCGACTGAGATGAATAACCTGATGTGGGTAATAACATTTAAAGCTTAAATATAAATATTTTCAAAAATTCTAAGTAACATAAATTAGGTATAAATAGAAAACAGGGTTATTTAGCAAGAGTACAAATTGTGTGTGTGTGTGTTAAAGATTACATTGTGCATGAAACTCCAAATGGTGCTACTGTTGAAGAATAATGTATATATTTATTTATTTATATATACTTAATATATCTGTTATATAACAGAACTATTTTATTAACACCAGCACTCAATTTGCATTATATATATATATATATATATATATATATGTGTGTGTGTGTGTGTGAATAAATTTTCCATGATTGCGGAATTGTTAGTCTTAAATGGAATCTGGTCTTTAATGTAATTTTCAATAATGAATAACAAATTATTTGATTTTAATTTTAAAATTTTTTTTCAAAACTTAATTGTCTGTTTGATTTTGTAAAACATTTTAATAAATAACAATAACTGTTATTTACTTAAAATTTGTTTTTACAAATCTTTGTAGTTATTTTCCTTATAACCCTCCCCCACCAAATAATTAACAAATGTTTACATAAAAAAAGTGTCGATTTTATGAGAATATGATGGCTAGTCTATTTTTGAATATTTTATAACTTTTCTAAGAAACTGCATGTTGCAAACAAAATGAAAGTCCAAAGGTCACAGCTTGGTCATGGCCACCAAGATCCATTGCTAAAGTGGAAATGGAAGACAGACATTAGTTGATGTCAAAATTGGAGGGTGAAGAGAGAGAGGTGAAGATCAAACCAATAGGTTTAACAAATTCATTTAATTTAAATGCTAGCATGTGCCTACAATACAATTTAGAAATAAAAAACAATTCCCCCAAAACACCATTCTATGAAGCAACTGGCTTGTCTAAGCTTACAATCACACAGCAATTCTCCCGGGTAATTAATTTCATTATCTTCAGTGCTTTGTAAACAAATTTGAATTGAACAAAAAAGAATCCTTTAATAACATTAACTATCAGTGATTATTTTTTCATATTTTACTTATATTTTGTAATCTAAACCAGTTGCATGAATAAGTAACAAATTGCCAAGATGACTGAATCCAAGTCAATATAGTGAATCAACCTGTAAAGTTGTAAAAAAAAAAAAAACACCTGTATCTAAAATTTGTGCTAATGCCAGAATAGAGCAATTTCCTGATGACTTTTATGCAGAAGAAAATGTTATTTTGCAAATTAAAGTTAACATTTTTAGAGTTGACACAATCAAAGATCACATCAAATCAAAAACTCATTTGACAAAAACGTTGGCACAACTGAAACAAAAGACAATCACAACTTTGTTGAAGAGCAAAGAGGTACAAGATGATTTTGTCCTTGATTTTTTGAAAATGTGCACCTTGTCTGACATTCCCCTACACAAAATTGACAAAATAAGGTCATTCATATTAAAACATTGTAAAGAAGGTGGTGCTATTCCAAGTATCAATTGTGTTAGGCAAATTCATCTAGCAAAATTGTTTGCTTGTCACTTTGCTGCCCTGAAAGCCAAGTTTGCTAATTAATCAGCCAGCATCATAACAGATAAAACAACTATCATGACCACAGCATTTTGAATGTAATTGCAAGCATTCATGGGGAGTCATTTCCCATTGATGTTGTAATATTGTGAGAATACAATCATCAAACATCAGCTGGAACTCGTGTGGATATTGCATTTGAGGATATTATTGCCTTTGTAACAGATTCTGCTGCCTAATGCAAAAAAGCTCATAAGGAAGTGTTGTCAAATGTTTTTGTTAACAGTTGCCATGTGTTTTGCTTAGCACATATTTTAAATCTTGTTGATGGAATATTTTCTCACTGGCCAGCATTTGATAATGTTACCCAGCTCAAGAATTTCATCGTCAGCCTAGTCGGAAAAAGTGATACTTAAAATAGTTTGAAGGTTCCTTGCCTAAGGAACAAGTGAAACTACTCCCTGTTCCAGTGTCAACCAGATAGAATTCTTGGTTTAATGTAGCCAAATATCACTCATAAGCAAGAAAAGAGCCATGAGTAGATAGGATTCTAGAATTACTAGATGATGGTTGACTACATCAAACCTCTTACCATAATTTGCACCTAAATCAGAATTTTATAAATGAAGACTGTATTCATTTAATTACAGCTTTGACAAACTTAGAAGAAACTAAAGACAGTTTTGCAGCCATCAAGGACTTGTAATGTCCTTCTACTGATCTTCTTGAAGAATTACAAATGTATGTGAATTACCAAGATGATTTACCAAATCCTTTTAATATCCCATCATTTTGGAATGCAAATAAGAACAGATTGCCAATAAGATCATATGGATGCCTGTTACTAGCATAGATGCTGAATGTTCATTTTCTCAAAAATTTACTTGATAAACAATGTGAAAGTCTTACCCATGAGAAAACCAAGCAACTCACAATGCTGTGTTACAATGGAGATTTAGAGAAGAGATTTGAAGATTAGATATTTCTCAAATTAAGAAATTAGTAATTTTAAATTTGAGCAGTATTTCAACTTGGGATAAGTTGTTTTATTTAAATTAATATGTCTACAAATTTGTTTTTTTGATATTTTGTTACAAAGATTCAGTTATTATAGTTTAATTAGTTTTGTAAAATTTTAGTCAAAATGTTTAACTTTATTCAGATATTGAGATTAACGTTATTTGCTGTTGATACTTTAAAGGTGATTTTTATATTATGAATCAATAATTATAAATCAATAATTATAAATCAATCAAAAAAACGAAAACAATTTGAATAGGTTTTGAACATGTTCTTAAAGAATGGAAACTCTGATTAAAAGTTCTACCTCAAAGATAACATTCCATTGTTTTATTGTCTAGTCATTTTACATTTTTTTTATTTTTACATATTTATTTTTGAACTTAGCTAAGATTTTTGTTGTTAAAAGCTTTTCAGTAAGAATAAAGCAGTCTTAGAATTTAACACTGATTCTAATATTTCAGAATTTAGTTTATGTTCAGGACATCTGTGTGGGGAAAAAAGTGGATGAACTAGGAGAAAGTAGAACAATACTTTTTGGGATCAACTTTAATATAGAAAATTATTTGTTTTACTTGATCCTAAGAGTTGATTTGTTTCCTTGCCCTCAGGCCCATAGAATTAATGCTTTATTGAATGCAATTCAATGGTGGAAAAAAATGAAGGATGAAATGATCAAATTCCAAATGTAGCAGTTAACAATGGAACATCAATAATATTCACATGTCAAAGCAGTTTACTATTATTATTATTATTCACTAAGAATATCAATAATTGTCTAAAGTTTCCAACAAGCACTTGGCTAAGAGACTTCCCATCTATTATATTTAAAAGAAAGGTGAATATTATTTAGTATCATTATAGGATGTTAAGAACCACCAAGCCCAGTACCTTATGGCCATAAAGGAAGAGCCACAAATATGTGGTAGTAGGACAAATGTAATCATTAGACAACCTGAAACCATTACTGTTTACTCCACCACCCATTGAGAGAGCGAGATGGGGGAGAGACAGAGATATAGAGAGAGATGGGAATTGAGTTATTAAAAAAATGCACAAATCCAAAGGGAAAAGAAAAGATAATTATGCTAATATCCGCATCCATATCCATATACTTAATAAATAGTAATAAAGGAGTGAAAAGGACATGTTTACCAATTTAGTAAAGTGAGTGGCTTAATACTGGCATTGATAAACATGGCTCCAATGTGGATCAAGTTTTTCAGGTCTATATAAAAACTAAGTTTCTACAATTTATACTGTCCATTCAAAATTTTAATATATATTTTCTCTGGACAATGGCTTCCCATCTTAAATCCAAATTCCACAATGTGAAATTTCAATTTATTTCACTTAAATAAATTGAAACCAATTTCAGTTTGACCAATCTGGTTCACACTATTTAAAGAGAGAAAAAATTATTTTTTTTTTTGGTGGGAGGAGAGAGAGGTGGGGGATTCTATTAAATTTGTTCCAAGGAGTTATTAATTATATTCTTACCTTACTTTCATATCCATTTACAATCTCAGAACGGTCACTTCTCCAGCCCCATATCCCTGATTTATTTCTGAAAAAAAAAAAAAAAAAAAAAAATTTTTTTAAATAAAATAAATAAAAAAATTTTAGCTATTTAGTGACATATTAACGTATTTAATACATTGCTCATTTGGATTATTGTTATTGATGATAATAATAATAATACTACTAATTATTATTATTCAATGAAGGCAGTGGATGTCTCAATACTAACAGGTGTAAAAAAAATTCTACATTTTTCTTACAGTAGTAAAATTATCTTATACTATAAAAAATTAAGAAAGAGTTATAAAACATTTTCCCATAAATTTATATTCACAAAACTTTTAATCCATTTTAATTTTAAACAACTGTTCTTAATTCAATAGTAAACAGCATGAAAATGGATTTTTAAATTTATTTCTGAAATTAAATAAAAAAAAAAAGAAGATAATTGTTAAATCAATTTTATAATGTAAAGACAAAAGATTTTAATTTTTTATTATCGTGACAATAGATAGACATTCCACTAATAAATACCCATTCCATTTTAAATTGTTACAAGCTGATACCATATCAAAAAGGTTGGCAAGTGCTAAATATAGTCCAAAAAGTTGTACTTTACAATCTTGGTTCAGCTTTAGTTTACAATTTCAGAAATCATCACCCATTACTATTTAACAAAAAAAAAAAAAAAAAAAAAAAAAAGAGGATGGGGAGATGTAACCAGAAGAGCCAACATTGCACATAATCTTTGGTATGGTTACCTTTCAAATGCTATTTTATCTGTATCAATGAAAGTAGTCATGATAGGTGAGGTGAGTCTAGCAGCTACTTCCTCTTCGGTTGGTTCGAGCATGGAGGACAGCATTGGCATTTGTTGTATTTGTATAGTTTCTGAATACACCTCCTGGTTGTCATGGTCTACTTCCATCACCACTGCAGACTGACCTAGCAGCAACATAATTTGAATAGAAATCATATTTAATCAATAGTTCATAAATATATCTACATTAATAAAACAATGCAAAAGTATTTATTAAGTCTGGAACAAAGAAAGATTTTGAAAAATAAAACTTAGTAAGTAAACATTAAACATCATTATTTTTTTTAGTACAATAGAGGAATGATTTGAGAAGATGAACTTCCATGTCAATAACAATAAAAAAATCCAGTTTTTTTTTTTTTTTTTTTTTAAATTAATCTACATTTTCCAAGGAGCAAAATTTTGTCTTAAATTAAAATCAACAAAACAAGCATTTATTTCCATTTATAGAGAAAAGTAATGAAAAGGTCATGAATGCTGCTAATAATTTTAAAAAAATTAAATAAATGAATTAATCTAAATAACGGCATCAAGAATACACAATCACATTGCATTTTGGATATTGGCTGATAAGAAACCATTTTTTCCTATCCATTCCAAATAGTCAAATTTAAGGCTATTTGGCTCTATTAGGAATAGATAAAAAAAAAAAAAAAAAAGTTCTTATTCATTTTGAACATTCTTCTAACAAGAATATCTCCCTCATAACCCACCTATCCAGGATGTGAAAGAGGTAAAACTACAACTTTTGGATGAATACTTCCTTTTGACTAAATAGAAAGGTATCTGGTATATGCATATGCGAGTTTCTCTGGGGTTGGGGGGGGGGGGGAATAAAAAAAATAAAAAATGTTGTTTGTTGCTTGCCCTCATTTGAACCTAGGAGTTAAGTTAAATTATACTCATAATTAGTTAAAACTTATTTATGCATCCACAGTTACCTAATTTTAATCTTAACTAAAAGTATGGACACAAAACTCACCTGAACAACTACAATGTTAAATTCCGTAATATTCAACCCCCAGATTACCCTCATATAAATCTTATTAAATTCCCCTTGGCCTGGAAGGGGTCTTTGCCTCTTCAGCTACCTTCCTAGAGATGGCATGCCAATAAAAGCGCCCAGTCTCCTGTGCTGCGAACAGGCTAATAGGATTAGGTAGGTTCATCTGTCACCTAGTCCACGCTCCTTTCACATTTACTGAATAAGAGTAGACATTCATTCCTGTTTAAAATGTGGTTGCAAATCTTCATTTTGAGGGAACCAGACTGACAGTTTTCTGGTTGCTGCATCCCAACTGATAGCAAGAAGCTCTTTGGCAGTGCTTAGAGAGGCTGCCTTGGTCAACACTTGCATCATACCAAGATTTTTGTAGTGCCATGTTTCACATGGATAGGAGTCCCTGCAAACATTGAAACCTAAAAATTTCCCTGCAATTGTCCTTAAGAAATGTGTTCTTGAACTGGACCATGTTTTTTCCATGTTCTATATGCTTTGCTGCTTCTTGGTTTCCAGATTGTTGGAAATCATCTTCTGTAATTCTTCTTTTTAAGAACTGTAGTGAACCCTCTGATCCTTCAAACTATCAACTTATTAGTCTTTTATTTCTCCTTGGGAAAGTACTAGAAGCACTAATCAATTTCAAATTGGTTAAGCATCTCACCTCATTGGGTCTGATTTCAGACAAACAATATGGCTTTCACTTCTCTAAGTCAACTGCCAATGTGTTGATGGTTATTGCTGAAAGAGTCTGTCAAGCTTTAGATATTTCAAAGACATTTGACAGAATATGGCATGTGGTCTTCTTCACAAGTTGAAGGGTCATGATGTTTCTGGCCATATCTTTGATTTGATTCAATCTTTCTTATCAAATAAATGTTATCTTGAATGGCCACTCCTCTAGATCATTCTGGATTAATGTGGGTATCCAGCAGGGATCTATTCTTGAACTCTCAGGGTTCCTTATATTCATCAATGACCTTCCTGAGGTCATCAGTTCCTGACTGTATTTACACTGATAACACAATACCAGAGTGGCAGCTATATTTCATAATTTCACTGTTGAAATTACAAGTTGTAACCATAATTTCTATATTAATTTTTTCTCTTGTGCTTCTTGCTTATGGAATTATTCTGGTTTGCTGCTTTCCTGTCAACTACAAAAATTTAAATGCAATGCCAATTGTCATCTAATTTATCCTTGAATCCTATTCTATTTCTTTCAGTCTCAGTAACCCCTTGCAACCTAGTGGCTTTTATTGCTTTGCTTGGGATGAAATTATTAAAAAAATGTAAATAACTTATGATCAACAAATTATGTGTCTTCTGGAGCAGGTAAGTCAGATATAAAGTAACTTAGTACCACAAATAAATCATTTATGGCATTAAAACTATTTAATGCTATCCTATATAAGACTCCGAGTGTGTGCATGTGTGTGTGTAGAAACAGTCTCAAGTATGTGTTTAGTCATTTCACTAAAAATTAATTGATTTAAGCAAAACATTTTTGACAAGGAGGAAATTAAATTTCTTTTGAATTTGAAATTTGAATATGGGTTATTGGGAGAAATGCTCAGCTTCTATTGCCATACCATTTGCCTTTGATGTCAGATCCAAATACAGGGTTCCCACAGATCTGTGTAAAAAAATTCCAGGACTTTTCCAAGACTATGTTAAGAAGTTGCAAGGACTGAAACTGGCACATGCACACACACAAAGTGGATGCCCATCAGTTTCAAAAACACAAACTTTGTGATTTATCTTTTAATAGTTTGACAGCTGCTTCCAATAATTCATGTCACAGGGATCAGTTGAAAGCAGTGAAGAAATGCAAGTGTTGAAGGCTAAAACACAACTAAATGCAGACCTGGTTATGTTACACATTTTGTGTAGCATTCTATACAGTTTGGAGTTATACAACACTTGAAAATTTTGAATTACATACTTTAATTGTTACTGCTATACCTTTTAGCTCTCTAGACTATTCATGGTTTGTGAATGTCACAAAAATTATTGACTGCTGCACATTTCCTGTGAAGTTATGTACAGTGGTTTTAATGAACAGAACTACAAATAGAAATTTCCACAAAAAGACTACACATTTTCGCTACCCCTACTATCATGGCTTTTGTTGCACATGACAAAGAATAATGTTAACATTTTTTCAGTTTATCTAGTTTAGCATTCAGCTCCTTTTCCAGTTTTGATATCTCTATGGACTTGTCCTTTGCACATCTTCACATAGCTGTCAGCTGCCTTAAGCAAATCTTGTGTGCAACTTTGAAGCTTGTGTTTTTTGGTCTTCAGTTCCTCAATTTTCATAAGCATGAATTTCCATTTTTGTCCAGCTGCTTCTTCCTACCTCTTTTTCTTTTATGCCTACTGAGTTATTGGTTGTATACTGTTCTGGCATTGGAAGCATTGTAGAGAAGAGCCTTAGACATAGGAACATTCCCAGCACCTCCAACTGAGGCCAAATAGTCCATGGTAATGCACTGTGTGACCAGAGCCTGCTGTTTCATATTGTCAGTGAAAATGTCTTTACTGACCAAGAAACCTCTCCCCATTGAGGCCTGTCCATGAAAGTACCAGTAATCTGAAAACAACTTTCCACAGTTTTTAATATTATTTGTTGCTAGACAGAGTGGAACAAAGTGTTCAGAGGGTATTCATGCTTGCTGAAATTCTTGAAAGCAATATTTCCACTAGCTGCTTCCTCAAACTCTTTGTACTGACTGGTGATGTCATCACAATCACACTTGCTGCCTTCTTTTCTGTCCATCAAGTGGGAAAGACATCTTTTTAGACTGTTTTATTTATTTTTCACAAATGGATCCAAGGTTCAGCCATGGAAGGACCTTACAAGAGGGTATCTAAGGGAAGAATTTGCCAGAAGTTTCTCAATGATGGCAATGAACATTGTCTTTGTTGCAATTCTGCTTGCAAACAGTTTTTGTTGACACATTTCCTTTTCTGGATATTTTTTTTCATAATCCTATCTGCCAGAAACCCACAATATCTTTGCAGCATCTTTCTGCATGTTTGGGGTTGACAAAATTCTCACAAATTCATTCAGTTTGGAAAATATAATTATCTTTTTAGTGTACTCTTTACAAATTTTAACAGCTTCATGATCATGCTAAAACAATCACCTGCAAGAAAAAGGAAGCAACAGTTTATTGCTCTGATATTTTATTCTGATACATGGCTATGACTGCATGTACGCAATCCAGTGCAGCTGTGGTAAAAAAATATAAAGGAGAAACAGGCCACCTTCTTAAGGTGAGACGGCAAGAACATTGTAAAGTTGTAACATGAGGGGAAATAGAAAAATCAGGTGTAGCTGACCACATATGGAAGGAAAAGGGAAATCCCCACACTCTGTGGGATGAGGTTGAATATAATAGAGAACATCATTGAAAAATACAAAAACTTAAGGAGTCAGCACTGATGTTAGGCCACAAAAATTTCCTAAGCCAGACAAGCATAGAAATGAATACAGTATGGGAATGTAGTTTAAACGAGTCTATTACAACAATGTCACTTGTACCAATCAAGATACCGCAGGTTCAATCCGCCATTCTTGCTTTCTGCACACTTCACAATGTAAATCTGAATTTTCTTCAAACGTTTTCACTACTTCAGCCCTCTTTTATCAGGCCAACACTGCAGTCGACCAACCAATCAGCGTTCTCCACTTTTATTCTCAGTTACCCAGGCAAATAGCTTCCTCCAGTTTGACTAATCAGCACATGACTTGCTATCGATGGAAGCATGCCAAATTGTACAAAAACCCTCGTTACCGCACACACTGCTGGAATTGCTGGACAGGAGAGTAATGCCATTTTCATGGAGAAAACTTGCCGATGTCACATGCTGCATGCTAAGGTAAGACCCTTATTTTACTATGCACCAGATGCAAGACACTCTGGCTCACTTGCTTCTATGGGGCTGCTCACCACAGAGAAATAGTGATATGGAATACTAGAGAAAAGCAACAACAACAAAATTGCAATATGAGCTCTGGTAAGAAAATCGTTTGAGACATTAAGTTTATAAGTCCCAAAAATTCATACATTGATACCCTCAAGGACACATGGCCCAGTGGATAAAAGCATTGGTTGAATCCAAAGAGTTGCGAGTTCAATACATGGCTTCAGCAGAGGTCAGCAAAAAATTTTCTTTGAGTCAAATGTGATTCTCAAGACAGAGTGAAATAATTCTTATAACATCAAAGTTCTTTCATAATGGGTAAGAGAAAAATTTCAAATTCAGTCAAATTGTGTGCGCTTATGTCTACATTAAATGGCAAAAACACATGCAAGTCACTAAAATTCAACACAGACATATGCATATATATATAAGAATACTTACTTCTTCCCTTGAAGATGTAACTTCGACTTCCTCTCTGCCATTTCATACTGTCAAAACCCAACAATGTTGTATCAATTCGGACATTGGAACCTGCAAATATATTCAGCTTCATTAAAAAGGCCTAACATTTCACATATAAGATGATATTAAGAAAGTAAAGGATCATTCTTTCATTGTTTCATTTAAAACATCAATACAAGAGAATAAGACATCATACAGAATGATCAGTTAATAGCCAGAATGCATCCCACTTGTTAAATATGTAGGAACATTATGAAGTCTGTGACATAATGATGAAAAAATACATTTAAGCAACATTTCAGCATAATCTCCTTCCTAAAAGTACTTAAGCCCACTCCTCTCCAGAAAGCAAACAGTGAAAATTTCAGTTCAAGATTTCAACTAATAACAGGATATAGAATTTATGATACACCTTCATGTCAGAAAATATTTGATTACATAACCTGTATAAAAAAAAAAAAAAAAAAAAAAATTCTGAATGATTATCAAAAGTTCTTTGTTTTTTTTTTTGTTTTTCTGACAACCTCTTTAGTTTTGGTACATTGGGCACCCAGTGAAGATCAAACTCAGTTTTGATCAGTAGTACCTCATTAGAAGCAAACAGACTATTTTCAAATATGAATAGTAGCCAGGACTTTGAAAGTGAATACTGCTTGTATCTGGCTATTGGCTTAAAAGATAAGAAAAAAAATTCTTTTGTTGTTTACTCCAAAGAACTGAAAAGCCTGAACAAATGACAGTTTTGAAGAAAAGCTGAAGTTGGAGCACTAAGTTTAGCTGATTGCAAAAGAACAGTTTTCTAGGGAAAATGAACTCCCCCATGATACACTTAGTTTTAAAATTCACTCATAAGTCCATGTGAGAAATTTTTTCAATTTTGCCCAATTTTTCACACAAACACACAATGAAGTAAAAAACAGGTCATAGTTTTCTACCTTGTGAGTATACTGAACATCATAAATGAAAACCAAATTTGGTATATCACCTATGAAATTAGCAAGAATCATTGAGAATCAGAACATCCTGACACAATTTAGAATGTAAAATTAAACAAATTTTAGCATCCAACAAAAACAACTTATTCAGAAAACGTGAGAACGTTTGGTTCAGTGTTGGGCATATAATTTATACAAGACATGCTAATAAAACTATAAGCAACCAGGCTTTGATAACAGAAGTCACAAAAAGAAAACTTAACAATAAATAAAAACATGTACAGAAACAGTTGAGAAAAAAAGAAAACAAATTACCACATTTCCACACCCTGTATACATCACTGGGACATACCCGAGAAACCAATGGAACTGAAAAAAAAAAAAATTAAAGTAAATAGATTATCAAAAAAGAAGTGGAATAATCTAAGAAATTTTTCTTTATTATTGTAATTAACACAAAATATTGGCAAAACACCTAAAGAAAATGCACTAAGCAAATTCTAAAGACCAGATACAATATGCACCTGAGAAAGATAAAAACAAAAGTATTTTAATAACAGACATCTTTCTTTTTAAATAAACTGACAGCTTTAATTTAGTAATTATTAAATAATTTTAAACATTTTTACTAACATGTACTAATTAGCTTAAGTTATTGTTTTCTAGTTTTTACCATTTTCTGTGGTCATAATTAAGAGTCAGGAATTTGAATACTAATTAACAAGATTGGCAATTCCTCCCTATTTTGAAAGATTGGTGTAGCACAATCTTCCTTCTGCATTTTCTACTTCATCTTTCTATGTGCTAATATGTGTGTAAATAACTACATATACACACAAGTTTCATCAGATTATGAAATATTTAAAAAAGTGTCATCAACATTAACTCTTGGATCACCTTAAATTTAAATCTTGATTTCATGAGTGATTTCAAGTACCAACATTTTTATCATAAATTAATTCACTCCACACTTTTTTTGCTCCAATAAACACTTTGAGGACTTACATGGTTTATGTCCCTTGGTGGCCATTGTATTATAAATGTAGACACAAAAACATTCGTTTTTAAGTCTTTATTTTCTACTGGAAAAGTAATCGTTTCTGGGTGAGGAAATTATTTTCAACTAGTTGTTTACTTTACATGATTAAAAGAAAAAGATGAAGATTTAGCATAGCTTAGCACCAAAGTGCCAGTTTAGCATTATACATATGCTGTAAATTGAACCAATTTTCAAAACCTAATAAAGATGTACTCCAGGGTCCAATTAGTAACAAACTAGCCATCCTTATGACGACAGAAGTAAAAAAGACATTTGGCAAATTATAATAATAGATTATATACTACATACACAAGGGGGTGCTGAAAAGTTCTCAGCCAGATTAAAAAAATTGGCTATTTGGTCAGATTTTATGCAATATCCTCTTGTTTATAAATACATATAATTACTGTTGCTTCTGCTGCAAAAACAGCAATAAAAACAAAGTCTTCATCAGATGAAGATCCTAGAGCCAGGGCAGGTTTCAAGACTGAAACATTATCATAACACCCAGATTTCCTCAGCAGTACCTCATAATACCACCAGGTTTTCTTGATTTTCCATCAGTGTGTGAATGCCATATCCATGCAGATGCAGTCCCTGTCCAATCTTGAAGTTAGGCTGCAAAAATCCAGTTGGTAATAAAACTTTGGTATTCAATTTTTATAAGAAACATGTAGCTGGTCATACAACCATTTCTTTAAATTGCTCTCTCACATCTTCACACTTTTCCAACTTACATTAATGGGCCAAGCAAATCTTTCCCCTCAAAGGAGCTGTTAATTCAATCACTTATAAACTTTCTTTTTAAAAATTAGTGATCAAATCCAAATATTAGAATGCTGGACAATCAATGTTGGCAAGATGAGACATTTTAAAAGGTAATGTGATGCACTGGTCTTGCAAAATTTTCTCTCTCTCTCTCTCACATGCACACAGAGAGGCAATGAAAGTTCAAAAATAAATAAAATTCTCATGTTTGATCAAATTTATGGAATATGGTTAGTTGAAAACTTTTCAGCAGACTCCCCAGAATAGATTGAAGTAATCTGAATTTTAATATAAATATTTATTTATTACTTACCCCAACTGGTAAACTCCCATTTCATTTCCACATAGAAATCTGGGGACTAAAAAAAAAGAAAAAAAGAAAAATTATATGGAAACTAACCAAGATAACATACAACATCAGGACAATATTTAAGAGGAGCTCAACCTTACAAAGAAATCTCTGCAGAGTTAAGCTTAATGACCAAGAGCTGTATGTATTATATCTCTTGCTGTCATGGCAAAGAATACAACATTGAAAAGCTGTGATTATGGGCGAAACAATGAAATCTGGCATGGTTGATTGTGTACAGAGAGATACATGACATAAACAGAGATAAACTCTATAGAATCAGACATCTAAAGGAATCAGTACATATGTTAGACTATGAGAGCCTCTGCAGTAGGCCTGGCATAAAAATAAATAGGAGCATTAATAAATAGAGAGAAATGATAACAAGACTTTAACTACACTAAGTAAAGAGAAATGGTGGTAAATGAGGTCAAGCCAGACAGCATCAGCAAGCAGGCAAGAAAAATATTAGGTTTAAGTTCCAAGTTCTGGACTATACCACAGGACAATAGCATGGTGCAGAGATAGTAGACCACTGACCTACAGGTCATTTCATGTCCCACCATCAATGTTTTAGTAACTCACAAGGAGTTGGTGAAATATGGTTTGGCCAATCAAATTGAGCAAATTTTGTTTGCACCTTTTGTATACCTAAACACGTCTGATAGTCAGCCAGTTGTATAACATTTTGTACAGTTGTGTAGGAAGGTTTGTCTCTCTTTGCATTTTATCAGTCATGGTCTCATCCATTTTTAGTGATTGCTCGGATAATTTAAAATTTTTAACTATTCTGAATTCATTTGTGATATTTTAGACTGTAAAAAAAAATGGCCCACAAGAAAGGCCACAAAGAAAAGGAAAATGAGCTCAGAATGTAATGGAAATGGGAGCCTCTTTCACCAAAAGTAGAGAGAAAAATATGGCGTTAATGAGCAAAATAAAAAAAACTTTTTGCCATATATGCAAGGAGTCAATTGTTGCACATTCATATAATATTAAGCACCATTTTGAAAGAAATCATTACAATTTATTATTCACAGAAGTAAAGCAACAAGAACAACAATGTAATAATTTCAAAAGGATGTTTAAACCAAAAAACAAGAACAATATTTCTGCAGCCAGTCTACTATTTTTGAGCAAGGGAAGCTACTCTCTGATAGTAGTTATTTAAAAGAAACTCTTTTGAACTTGACGCCTTTGAAGACTTTCAGAACAAAAGGTGAAATCTTTAAAAATATTTAATGTGTTGCCAGTCACTAGAAATATAATCAGAGAGAATATTTGCTATGGACAAATATGTAACTGGTCAACTTGAAAAATGCAGGTATGTTTTCAATTTGTTTAGATGTAAGTACAGACATTACAACAATTACTCATTACAAGATTTCCTTCCAGAAATATACTGAAGAAAGAACTGAACAAATTGATGACACTAGAAAACTAGAAGGTAAGATATAAATGAATTTAACGAATTTATTGAACTTAGCATTCAGTTCAGAAATATTGTATCTATGATCACAAATGGAGTTCCAAGCATGACTGTAAAAAATGCTGGCTTTGTGCACTTACTGAAACAAACCACAATTTAGTTGAATTTCACTGCATTTTGTATCAAGAATGTAGGAAAAAACTTGTTTGAAATTATAAGAAAATGTCATGTCCCTTGTAACAAAAATTGTAAGTTTATAGCTGCTCATGCAAATTCATGCCAATTCACCAAGCTACTGAATGAAGTTAACAGTCAATTTTCTCAGTTACTTATATACAATGTCAGATTGTTAAGCTGAGGCAAAGTGTTAAATCGATTTGTGGAGTTGCTAGGAGAAATAAGACTTTTCTTAATCGAAAAATGACTCCAAAACTGAGTGATATTAAATGGTTGAATTTTTTTTGCAATTTCATACTTCATTACAATAAATTGAATAAGAAATTGCAAGGTAATGGAAGCATTGTTGTCATCAATGTTTGGCCATATTAAAGCTTTCAAAAAAAAAAAAAAAAAAAAAAAAAAAAAAAAAAATCTAGAAATCTGGAAGAAACAAACTGAAATATTTTCCACAATTAAAGAAGCACTTCTTAAGTTCAAGTTTTTCAACTGACAGTTCAGAAGAGTGAGAAACTGTACTCAAAAAGTATTTGTCAAGAGTAAAGAATGCCAAGCATTTATTTTCAGAGAGATTTTTTCAATTAAGAGGACTAGATAGCACCTTATAATTCATCCAATTCCTCCATATTATTCAATTCCATGATCTTAAGCTATCCATGTTTGATTTGGCTTGATCTAAATAACTTGGAGATGCAATTAGCAGATGTCCAAGAAAGTGCAGTGTGAAAGACAAAATTTATTGACTTTAAGCTGAAGTTATAAGAAAAGGAATTAAAATCATTAGCCTATGTCACAAAAGAAAATGACTCCTTAGAAAGGCATTCATTGCCTAACTCTTTTGCATCAATGCAAAAGTTGGACTTAGTAATGCTGACCATTTTTGGTTCTTCGTACTCATATGAAATGTTGTTTTCATCCATGAACTATATAAAGCCAACAATCAGGAATCATCTTAGTATGGATACGAGTCCTGCATGTGTTAAGCTGAAGACAAAGTATGAACCTCAAATTAAAACATTAGCAACTAAGATACAGATACAAGTTTCTTATTAAAAAAATATCAGTAAGTATATAAGTGACCCATTTATAATTATGAAAAATTTTTAAAAGTACCAAAAATGACTTGACATTTATAAAGGTTAACCATCTCTGGCCTAGTGGATTAAAATGTTGGCTTGTAAATTTGGTAACATAGTAATTGTAAGTTAATACACAGGTAATACAAACTAAGATTCAGTAGAAACCAGGCAAAAAAAGAAAAAAAGATGATGATGAGATATCCCTAGATATAGAACAAGAACAATCTTCCACCAGTTACCCAAATAGATGCCTGAAGAAATGTTATAACAAAGAGAACTTTAGTATGAATGTAAAAAAAAAAAAACTAGAGTAATCCTAAGATGCAAGTGGAATTCTGAATGACTGAAACCATCACTAATACTATAATACTGTTTCACTACAGAGTTGAAATACTTTATAGACTAAAAGTACATTTTTGATCAAATTTCTACATGAAGAAAAGAGCAAAATTATATAATAGGTAAAAATTATTAGAGAATTGTTTTTAACCAAGGGTTAAAGGCATGTGTATGGAGAATACCTGATGGAAGGCATTAACTTGCACCATGTATAGTATAGTGATTGACCACAGGTTTTTTATGATCATGACTAAAGAGATCACTTGTTTATAGTAAGAGACAAACAAGACTGGCTCAAATCCCATCCAGATTCAATGTAGGCAGTATTAGAGGCATATCCAGTAGATCAGTTCAGCGTTCTTTAGCTTACATTGAATATGGGAACAGAAGATGCCTTTAACACCACAAGACTGGATAGTGTCTCACCTGGGTTTATAACATTGCTAATTAGACACTGGAGGATTCGTGAAGTAGGGCATGATTCAATGAGCTACAGTTCCAGCCGTTTTAGGCAAATAATAGTATTTGGGTGCAGCACAGGCTCCATGAAACCCAGTTGTCAATTAGATATTCTGTAGGTTGGTGATGGTTGATATGACGTGTTGGGGGCCTGTTGGTTCACCTAAACACATTGACCATCGATGATCATTTGCACATATTTATGGACTGCATGTATCTCAACAATGATGGTTTATTCCAGCAGTGTCATCAATTGCCAAAATTACAAGTTACCCAGTTATGCTTTGAGAAGCATCCTGGAAATCACATTCACTAGACATGAGCCCAATTGGTGGGGAGTTCTATTTCTACACTGGTTCTTGCACCTACAAACACTAGGGAGTTGTGGACAGATATCAACAACAGGATTCTTTTGACTGCCTATAGAATCTATGCTATGTTGAGTAGTTTCACTTTGTAGGGTTAGAAGAGGTCCTACCTGATACTAGGTAGCTATTCCATGGCTTTTGGCATCAGTACTTACTTCTTTTAACTTCTGGAGCAGGTCTGGTATTCCAGCCGAGCGTTTGCTGTATCTTTGGTAATCCCGGAACTTAAGAGCCAGCTGAACCAATTCTGGATCACCAGTGCCCGTGGCTTCATGAAGTACTAAAAGGAAAATAATTAAGAAACTATTGAATAAATAAAAGATATGTCAGAAAATATTTTTGATTTTGCAAAAGAAAATAAAAGTAATGAAGAAAAGCTCTATATTTTTTTGGACATTCTCTGCATTCCCAATTTATCAGCCAATTAAACAATTCTTGAACTATCTTAGAAAGAGATGAGAAGAATTCTATTTCCAACTAAAAATTAGGTGGATCTGTGTGTCAGTAGAAAGAGAGGGGAATTCACAAAACCATTAGAAATATTCTAATAAAATTTCATCAAACAGGAAACATTTTTAAATAGTCATAAGAAAAAGTGATAGTTTTTCTATTCATCCAGTTGTTACACTTGGTTATATACTTGAAACAACATCTGAATTACAAATGATGCTAAAGTTAAACATTTATAACTGTCTTCTTTTAAATCTACAAACAGAAGAACATCAATTCACAATATCTGGAGGAGGACATTAAAAACAGAATCATGTTTATCTATAATGATAATAATTAATATACAAATTAGAAAAAAAAAAAAAAGAAATCTATTGTATTTCTGTTAGTCACCTTAGAAAAAGATTCTACTATGGAAAGATATCAATGGCTATCACTGACCACTTATATCTGAAGCAGTGCATATGTGTGTTACAGGAAACAGATTCTTGTAGACTTAGCTTTCGACGAAGGTCACCAAACTAGCTCCTCCTCTTCTAATTAGTCATCACTTGAAAAACAACAGTTTCAACAGGATGTATTAACTCCAGCTTCTTGCTTGTCTTTTAACTTGCCCCTCAATATTAACATATGATCTCATGAACAGAATATTCAAATGACTTTAGAAATTTTACAAAAAAAAATTAATAACTATCTTATCAATTTGTTCATGCTATCACAAATTTTAGAAATCCTAATTAGATATTGTGCATAAAAACACTCTCCCTCCTCCAAAATTTATCACTGCACTTTTAAAACATTAAAATATAAGTACAACTAATGGAAATGACTTTATTTCATATGATTAGCTATTTTTTTAAATGACTGTTTTTAAAATCTGTTTAAAAACAATGATGAAGAAGCAATGACTGTTTCAGACGAAATTAATTTCAATAAATTCTTGCCTTATGCATAAAAAATAAACACATAACAAACCCAAGTTATGACCATGAAACTTACAAGAAATCACTTTAAAGATGGATGTAACAATACATCTGACAAATTATTTGATAGCAAAAGTTCTTAATTTATTGCTGTTCAATTAATGTGCCCAATCTTTTAAAACTCCAAATGTGAGTCTTCTATATGTTTCTAAGGAAATAATAAAATCTAGAATGAAACAGCCTGATGTACATCAGAGAAAAATAAAATTTCCAGGAAAATGCTAGAATGGTATTTGCCAGTAAAAACACCACATAAACCTACTTGTCTTCTATAGAACAACTTGGATTGTCTTAATCAAATTTTGGTTCCAAAGAAACTGGAAATTTACTGATAAATGCTTTTGTTTTATGGATACTAATTATTCATTAATGAGAACAAAGCTTCAATTGAAATCATACAGATTGTACAAACCACAAATATTACCATCCATGGACAAGCTCAGAAAAAAAAAAGAAGAAAAAAAAGACGAGTACAATGAAATGGCAAATGTAATTCTTATAACTTATGTTCTTCTCTGACCAAATTAATTTATTTTTGTTTATGACATACAAGATTTAATGAATGTATGCTTGATTGTTAAAAGAAACGGTAGCTACACCCATTTACCCTTACCTGACCAATATGAACGGTTCTCAGCATTTGCATTTGCTCCATGGCGGAGAAGGACTTTGGCACTCTCAAGATGACCTAATGTAACGGCCAAATGGAGTGCAGTACGGCCTCTGGGGCATAAGGCTTCAAGATCATGCTGAAATGAACAAAAAAACAATTATATATATTTTTAGATCATTAATTCAGATGGTGGAAAGAAAAAAAAATGCATTTTCAGAATTTTTCAACCATTCAGCTTAGTATTTGCAACAAGGCTTACCAAATTTATCAATAGCTTTCTTTTAGAGAGCTTTTAATAATGAAAGTTGCTCTTAAAATAATGTGAGAATGATACATCAGCGTTTATTTAAAATTCCTCGCATTAATGAAGAAAAGAACATTCATAAACATAACCACATCTTATATAATAAAAAGACTTTTTTCATAATATTTTTATCTTCATTATCTATTGATTTGATACTTATCTATAGAAAAATGATTATAGAAATTACTTATTTTATCTCAAACTTTTACATGAACCAATAATAGTTGATATTAAAATATTGTCCAGAACAGTATCCCAAAGTAACAAACTCATTAAGTCAAAGATTGACTTTGCTGTAACTTGTAGTCATGAAATTCTTTCAACCAGTCTTTATTCATTTGGTAAAGTTCCCCTTCTCTATGTACCACTTTATAAATAATTAAAGATATTTGTAAGAGATTCCTACAAATCAAACTATCAAATATCAAGTTACATGTACTGACCAACATATTTGCTAATTTCTCAAGTAATAAACACATAATACTATTACTGTACAAAGAAAATACAAAGACTGCATTGGCCAAAAATATATCAATAAAAACATCAAAAATATATCAATAAAAACATCAAAAATGAAAATGATGGTCCAAAAGATTTATGAAAATCATTTGTGAAATGACTTAACATTTTTCATAAAAGAAAATACCAATAACAGAGAGAAAATCAAATTTCTCTTGCTTGAGAGTGAACTTATAAATTAAATTTGAGACTAGGTTATAAAAGATGGTCTATGTTTTTTTTTTATTGTTAAATTGTTTCATTCAGGTAATCAATGAGTGAATCAAGTGTGTCAAGCACAAAAAAAAAAAAAAAAGAAAAAAGGGAAGTGATTGTTTAATATCATTTTTAATTAGCATTAGATTTTAAAGCTTTATAGTATACATGATGATAAACTACCACAGTTAAATAGGAAAAGAAAACAATCTTACCAATATCTCTATTGTTCTTAGAAATGCAACACATTTATCAAATTTAGAAATTTCTTAAATTAACCTTGATTTTGAGGGGATGAAAAGGTTCCAATGTCCAAGTGAGAGGGAAGCAATTTTAGAATCTTGGAAAAGCCAATTACATAAGGTTAAATTTTTTGAGTTTGCCACACAATGAAGCCACTGGAAAACTTTGGCCTGACCCACTTTTCAAATCTGACCAAATGCTACTTTCGGTCTGGCCAGGATCTCTTCAGCATTACTTCCACTCCCTCTTAGAGCTGTATTCACTACTCACCTGACACACCAATCTAAAAATCATTGCACCCATAAGCAAACTGATAAAAAGGAAAAAAATGATTTTCATCTAATTATAATTTAACTCACCTGCTTTAATCCTATTAATGTCATCTCAATCATTCATCCACTCAGGTGGATGTCACTCACTCCATGATTTTAGGACTACAGTATTCACTTCATTTTTTTTTACCATGATTCTGAGCATCCTTATCTGAATATCTTACAAATATCCAGAAAATGACTAACCACACCATAGAAAAATAATTTTCTGAAAATGAATGTTCATCATGCTTCTTCTCCCGCCAAAGAAATGTACAGACTTGACTTCCAATTCGGAATGATACAAGTCCTTCTCCATATACCAATTCTTCACTGATTTCACCAACTACACTAGTTGAATATTAACATTTTGTTATCACACAATCTTCCCTTTAAAGCCATATCTATTATGCCCTTCAATTCAGTTACAGTAATATTAATTACAATCATCCTTTTTCTCTGAACCATGCTGCAACCTCCCACTTAACACACCTAACTTTACTAGCATTACATCAAAAAAGCAGTTATTATCTGAGCACATATCAGCTCCCTCTCACATCTCCTTCACCATCAGGAAAGGAGTTGCTGGGATAAAAATCCCAGCTATTCCTTTCCTGCTCACTCTTTCAGTTACACCTAACAATGGGGCTACCCAAATTCTGCATGTAAAAAACAGTCCCCACCACCACCTTAGATTGTCTTTCAATTCCAGAATCTTATATCTTTCAAAAAATAACTCGCACCTCATTTTCAATTAAAGATCAAAAGCTTTTCCTCCTTCCAATGTTTCCTGCAGTTTTCCATTCAGCCCAAATTTCTTTAAATTATCTCAGTTTGTCATCTTTGTTTCATACACCAATATATCATTTGTGTAAGATTTAGCGACCCCTTTTCACACTATCTTTCAGAAGGTCATCGGTGCAGAATTCAGTCCAAATCACAACCTCACTGAACAGTATCTGCTGTTTCTCAGTCACATCAAGCTCTATGTAGTTCAATTTTAAAGCAATAATTGTTAATGCCCCTTCTCATTGGTCTCCACTTTTGAAAGATCAAGATTTGGGACACTCCCTTGAATGATACAACAAATCAAAAGTTCAACCTCTAGCATTTTGTAGGACATAAGCCAAAATAGGTTGTTAAATAGGAAAAGAAAACAAATCTTACATATTCAAATATTTTTTCAACAAGTGGAACTCACTCAAAAAAATAAATGTAAAAGTATTTTCTTTAGCCAACATAGAATTTGATGACCAAGTGATCAAGGAGAAAAGAAAATTTTGGTACACTGCAAAAACATTCAGTGTTTGCTGCCTTTCACATCACCTCACATATATTCATATATAAAAAGGTATCACTCTTCTTACATTCTGTTCGCATACACATTCAATCATTTTTTTTTCCGAGTACCACCGAGTGTCAATTTTATTACAAAAACAGATTTGTCATTACAAATTTGAAAATACAATAAATGGTAGCACTAGCAGGGATAAATTTGAAAGGGAGGTGGGATGAGACTAGACTACAAAATTTGAAGTTCACTCCTAAGAGGAAAAAAAAATATCAAATTTCAAACCTGAGCATAAGCCCTATAAGTAACTTGACTCAATGTCAAAGTTAAACTTTTAAAGATAGATACACAATGAAAACTAAAAATAATCAAGCAAAAATTAATCCTGTACAATTCATTCAACTAAGAAAACAAAATTTATAGTTGAATTTAATGGTTTTTTTTAAGTTTTCATTTCAATATTTGTTTTTTAAAAATTTAATGAAAGTTGGTGTTAACATTTTACAAAAATGATTCTCTAGGCCCTTATCAGCAGTGAAGATGTGATAATGGCTAATGCAATATGTACATATGATGCAAATTGTTTAGATAAAAAACTCCTAAATCTTATAACCTGCTAATAATGATATAAGTATCTCTTCACTATTGCCCTTTCCACCTTTTTAAGTATATTCTAACAGTAAATAAAAATCATTTACTACTACTACTTCCAAATCTCATTTTTCACCATTTTATCTCATTACAGTGTCAATAATTGCTTTAAACTTTATACTACTTCTATTCCATGGCTAATATTTGATGCATAAAGACATCTATTCAATAACAATCATGTATTACATCATTCTTATTAATGTATCAGGCAGTAAGCATCATATGGCCACACCCAAGCTGCTGACAAACCTGTCACAACAATAGAGCATTAATCTCTCTATATTACACGGAATACATAATTACATTCACATGATTATGCACATTGAGTTACTATTTTCTCTGAAATACTGCAACAACTGAAATAAGAACTCAGCAGCAGCATTTACTTGCTATAGTCATCACAAAAACAATAACAGGATTTTAAATTATTACCTGTAGAAATATAATCACCTACACAAGTGGAAAATAAAACTGCAACCTCCTGAATATGTTTCAATTTATTCTTGATTAAATATACAGGTAATATAGCTGGTTTACAGTAAATGAGATATATATATATATATATCACCCACACACACAAATTCCCAAACAACACCTTGTTTTATATTCTTCTTAGGCCTGTACTCTCACATATACAATCATACAGAATACAGATACCAGTTGATAAATTATTTCATGCTTGTGCACACATTGACAAAATACAGTAAGAGTTGTCGGCTAACTGAATAAATTAGGCTTCATCACATGTCCTTTGCATGCTCAATAGTTAGATTTAACAATCATGTTGGCTAGAGCAGGATTTCTTAGTTCTTTCTTCTAATATTAATCTGTTTCTTTCAGGATGAATGAACTGCAATGTTTGACAAAATAGCTGAGAAGATTGATAATAATCTTTCCAAGCAACCCTCAGCTAGCATTCAAACAATCAAGACTTCTCAATCACCTATGAACTGATACAGATCATTGATGAGCCCACCTGTGTTCCTGATACAACAGGACATTACTATGACGATATTATACCAACAACAGTGAATTAATCCTCAATAAACCCTAGGGAGGTTAAGTTGCATAGTGAAATCTGTCTGTAGCATGCTTCTAACAGTTGGTATGATTCAGCTAAAAGCAGTTGGGCAAAACCATGTGGAATCCAAAAGGATTGACTGCTCTAGAAACTATGCCACATGACTCTTCTCATACATGTGAAGTCACCTGATACAACATTCAAAGTTGTGTGCAAAAGAAATGTGATAAGTTAGTTGGGGCAACAAAACTTGAGGACATTGGATCTTCTATAAGATCATCATGTGATGGGAATCACCAAAATAAAGAAAACAGATTCTATCCCCAACTCACAAACTGCCACTTAAGAGAACACTTGTGTGACCAAATAGTCCTAGACAAAATTCAGTGGAGTCAGTGATCAATATGATAAAGATCATTTCTGAAGGGAAAGGAATCAACCTTATGCAAAAGAAGCATAGGAGAAATGACCACCACTCAGGGTTGAATACTGTCAGCACAAAAGAATAACCCAATGATAAAACATTTTTTGCACATGAAGAGAAAAGACAAGACAAAACCCTGAAAATATAAAAGTTACTACCACGATAAAATAAGATGTT